TATTTTTCCAGCATTAATTTCATTTCCTGCTACTTTTCCATTTTATTTGGCACATACGACATACATCTATCTCGAAGCTCATGTGTGTGTGAATCTTTTTTCTTCAAAACACACACATGCCATGCTCATGTCCCACGATCTTTATGCTTCACGGTTTATTAGACATCTTTTGCTTTCTTCTCTTTTCTTGTAAGAAAAACTAGAAACACGATAGAAGTAATTAGCAATCACTTCCGCAAGAACCTAAATACAGGATAAGATTGTATACAATAGTTTTCTGCTGGGTATCTGGAGGCACATAATATACAAGGCAAGTCACAGCCTTGGGAATTATCCATACTACATAGCAATATAAAGGTTCCAAACATAAATTTTCATAGATGAAAGGATGAAACAAGTTTCTTCTCTTTTATATATGAAAAGTGACCAAAATATAGTTTTATTGACCAATATAATTGAAAAATGTAAACATGAGAACGTCATCAGTTAATCTCATTTGTCATTGCAATGCTTGTAAATTAATTCAAATTAAAGAATCTCCATTATAAAAAGTTGAAAATAAAAGGAATCAACTCAAACATTATTTGTTACCTAGGTACAATGAGCAACAGGATACTTACCAAAGTTCATGAAAGGCAATATGAAAAAGAAATTTAGAGAAAGCCCCACAATAGAGTTCCATGTGTCGGAACTTATGGCCCATACAGGATCTCCCTGTCACAATACGAGGAGTCTTTGAGATTTCAAACTTTAAATAATTTATACAATATTAGCAAATAGAAAAAAATATATATACAACATAACTATTCAAAATGTTCCAAATTGCCAAAGCAAAGGAGAAAGTTTTGTTGCCAAAGCTATGGAAACAACTTTCTTTACAATCACTTTAAATTATTAGTTGTACGAAATTAAAGAGGTATAAGGGTACTCAAATCAGAGTTATAAAATTATACTGATACTGCTGTGAAAGATGTGATACATAAATCAAAAACACTAATTCCCTTAATCCTAATAAAGGGAGAAACAAATAACGAAATAAAAAAAATGATGGAAGCCGAAACTCAGGTATGATTCTCTCCCTGATACAAACAAAAACTCCCTACACTGCTGAGTTTGTTTCAACTTGTGTTCCTCCATTTCCTATTTTATAGCATCGCTTACATAGTTCTAGTAGCCTGGTTACAGAAAAAAAAAAATATAACACTTGAGGGTCATGTACCTTAAAGCATTCATTCAAGATAGCACACCCAACAAGCACTAAAGATAACAATAATACGCGGCACCACAGAAGGAGCAAATGTTTTGCAGTACCGGCTCCCTTTAGAGTAATCACTTTTACTTTAACAGTTTCTTATTATTATCTTATATCTAGAAACAAACTTAAAAAGTTAATTTTTCATGCATTCTCACTGTAACAAACTTACCATCCAATGGTCAGCCAATCATAAATCAGTAACAAACAAACATCCATGGGAATCTTTACTACAGTGTAAAAAACAATGTTTAAATTCAAATAGCAATACAAGGCAGATGTTCTAATATACTAGCTTTGTTCACATTTAAAAAGAAAATCACACTTTTCGATTTAAAAACTATAAGTAAACGTTAAGTACTTTTACCTTTAATGATACTTTTCTTAAAAGATCATAATTTTAATAAATATCTAACTTTTGGTTTTACCATCATAATATGTAGCAAAAAGGGTATTTTAAGAACAAAATTAAGAGATTAGCAAAATTTGCTTTCTTTAATCAAAACACAGTTAACTCTTTTTTTTCTTATAAATAAGAACCGAAACAGAGGAAGTACTAGAAAATTTTCAAATTATTTAATGCCTGTTTCAATATTCAATAATTTCATATTTGATTCCAATTTCATGTTGAAAGTTAAAGTACCAAGTTACTTCCACCTTTTCAATTTTTTTATCCATTTTAGAGCTGAGGATCAATTTGAGTGGTTATCTTAAGACGCACTTGGGAATCAATGAAGACCAAAATCAATTTAAGTTTATAAACATCCTCCTCATATGGCAAATTGAAAATTTGAACAAGGTAAAAAGGGTACGTACAGGGGCATAAGGAAGCAGGAAGAGCCATAGAATGTAGACACCTTCTGCAACCCAAAGCGTAATTTGAAGCACTCTTCTGAGATTGTCTTCACCCTCTTCCGAAGAGAGTATAGATTTCCGGCGAGAAGAAAAGCACAATTGCGTTACCGAAACGCCGCGTTTGGCTTTGATAACGACCGGGGAAAAGCAACGGGTGGAATTGTCGGCTTGGTGAAGCGGTCTTCTGTTGGGCAACTTGGGAAGATGGAGTGGAGATTTTCGGGGCAACGGTTTGAGCGAAAGGAATGGGGGCAGGAACGATGGAGACGACGTCGATGTGATCGTCACCATAGCTTCAGAGGCTTGGGCATTGAGTGGTTCGCTTCACTGTTCACAATTTATAGAGTAGACGCCAACCTGTAAAGATATCAAATTCTATTATCTAAAGTTAAAATAAAGTTAGGTTAATTACATTAAATAACTACGAACACACTACAAATTTTATAAATCAATTTTTCACATACTCTATCATTATATTTCATCATTCCGTTATTTGTTATTTGTTCCACGGAATATTTTGCATTTTTAATTAGGTTAATTAATTTTTAAATTAATAATAAATTTAAATCTTTTTAATTGAATTTTTATTAATATTTTTTGTTTTATTAGATTTTCATAAATAATATGATGATCAATAAAAAGAAGAATTAGATTAAATAAAAATTGCAAATACATTAGATTAAATAAATATTGTAAATACTTAATGTTTTTGTTAGGTCGAAAACTATCATTGTTCTACGAGCTTTCAAAGTTCTCTTCTATTTTTTTATTTGATAGTCCATATTTAATTGTTCAGTTTCTTCATGGTTATCGGTCTATTGAGATACTTATAAAAAGTACCCTGATGCTTAAATAAGTATTCAGTTTTACTTAATCTAACAAATGTAGGTGATGAAAAAGTATTAATTACCTTGCCTAAATCCTATATTTATAGTATCCTTGATGGACTTTTACCTTTTGGGATGCCTAATCACATCATAACTTGTTTATGAAGGTAATTCCTGGATTATGCTCTTAACCTTGATGTCCCTGGGCTTCTTGACTATAACATTTGGTACCACCAACAACATCTCTTCAATCAAGTGAACACTTGTCTTCGTGTGCTTACACCGATATATTGAGGGTCAATAATTGAAAGTTCTTTGTTTAAGGTTTGATAGTTCAGTTGTGATCATGCTTGAGGGATGTAACAAACATTGGTTCTCCAAGCCTGATTATAAGGCATACGTTTGTACAAGGGTTTGAAAAAAAAAAGACATAATTTGTTTTATGCTTGCTAGCCATCTTGATTGTTTGGATTCCTATGCATACTAGCCCCCTAGGTTCGAGAAGGCCCAACCACCAAGGGGTGCATTCAAAGGGTCATGCACTCAAGTCAACCTTGTTATGTCAAAGTGATGTGAAGCGTCACGACACATCCATTGTTGGATGATGTTTGATCATACGATTAGGGTTTGATGATTGTTGACCTGCCTTGACCCTGGTCCCTCTATAAATAATGGTGTGCTCACTTGTGTTTGCTTTCTTTATTCCTTCTTTAGAGTTGTGTTCTATCATTTGAATAATAAGGTAATAATGTTAGGAGTTATTATCATTTAATCATTTAAGAAGTTTTTAGGAAATGAAGGTTAAGGGTATGTGGATATTGCATTGAGTATGTATGTCTCAAAGTCATGTTCCAATAGGAGAAATACCATGTGAAGTGCACCATCAAGTGGTGGAACTAAGGCTTCACTCAATGGTAGGATTGGCAACGAAGACGTCGTACTACAATTGGTCAATATTTTTCTCCACTAAAATCATGGAAAATCAATATATAATGTAAGAATACACCACAAAAATTTCTAGAATTTTAGAAATAGTATAAGTATCCAAAAAAATGTAAAGTATAGAAAAATTGGTGAAAAATAAAAATAAAATGAAAAACATACCTTAAACTATAGATTTTGAAAATTCCAAAAGAAAAAAACACCTTCAACGATGGACAACGTGTCGTCACCCTGTTTCCAACAACTTTCATTTATGGAGTGTCTCTATTTGAGGTCCATGCCAAAAGTTATGACAATTTGAAGTTTACAAAACTCAAGATTAAACTACAAGTGCAAAAGCACAATCTTTAAGACACACAACAATGACTAATGAATGAAAACACCAACCTTAATGAGAAATGTAATTGGGAAGAATGAAAGCTTCAACCCTAATAAGCACCAGAATGACAAGATAAAGTGAAATGAGTTGAAAAACTTTCTCCTACGAGTTTAGCATTGTTGTTGCACTTTGGTGGGAGGTTTCACACAAATATAAATGACAAAGATGGGGATACTGACTTTAAAAGGAAAATTGACGTTAGATCCACTTACAACATATGTCAATTAGTCATTTAATATTGGCCTTAGGACTAAAAAACGTGACTAATTGATGTCTGTTACGAGTAAGTTAGACGTCAGTTTAGATGAAATATTTATAAAAATGTTACCATACATTTTTAACTTGAAATTTACTACTTAAGACGTAGATATTGTGATATTATAAACATTTTTTGCATTAATGATACCTTTGACTTGATTTTATAAGTTTTTTCATAAATCTTTCGTTAAGAACAGTTTAATCTCGACCCATTTATATTAAACTTAATAATTAACATGTTTAACTTATTTAGATGATGAGTTGAATATGATAAAAATGATGAACCTATTTCTCCTAAAGACTATCAATTATTCCGTTATACTCATACAGTACACTTTTAAAATTATTTTAGCGAGTCATTAAAATGAAACAAAACCATTTCACAAAAATTAGAAAATAAAAAATAAAACTAAAATCAAAACGATTAAGTACCTTTTATTTCTTTTTCAATCCCGTGCGAGAGCGGTAATTTTTTCCTCGATTTCCAAAACGACGTCGTAGTTCGTGGACCAGGGCCATTTCAATTCTTCCTTTCGTCTGCACCCCCTTGTTTGCTTTTGGCGGAGAAGGGAAAAGGAAAATCCTGAATTTTCCCGCCAATTTTTCTTCGATCCGAACAATGGCACCAAAATCCGATAGCGCCGAAGGTACCATCTCCGCCGCACACCTTTCATTTCACAGTTCTTACCTCAAATCCTAACATCTCTCACTTTTTCATTTCACAGCTATCGTGTTGAACTTCGTCAACGAGGTAAGCAACAACACCTTTCCTAATCTGGTGCTTCGCAACTCATCTCACGCGATACGCCTTCATTATAGCAAGAAAAATTAAAACTAATCTAAAATCACCTCATTTGTAATGGTGGTTTCAATTTTGATTTTTACTTTTTTGAAATATGATCAGCAAAACAAGCCGGTGAATACGCAGAACGTGGCGGATGCATTGCAGAAGTTCAACCTGAAGAAAGCGGCGATTCAGAAAGCGTTGGACAACCTCGCTGATGGGGGACGCATTTCGTTCAAGGAGTACGGTAAGCAGAAGATATATCTCGCGCGGCAAGATCAGTTCCAAATTCCCAACAATGAAGAACTTAACCAGATGAAGGAACAGAATGCTGACATGCAAAAACAGCTAGAAGATCAGAAAAAGGTTATCAGTGAGGTTGAAGCAGGTGTAGTATATGTACTCTACTATAGTCATGGACCCTATTTGTTAGGAAGCAACATTTTATGTAGTTTGGACATGTTTAGATAAACTTAAAAATTAGAAAACAAAAAATTAAGTAAGCACCTTCACAAACTAAATTAGTTTATCCATAAACTTAAAAAAAAAAGCTTTTTTAGGCAACTTAACATGTGAGAGTTTTTGCAAATTAACTTAAACTTACTTTTGCTTAAGGTTTATTGAGGAACCGATTTTATATTTTTCTTCTTAGTTGTAAGTGTTTACCAGAATTTATCTAGACAGGTTCTTAGTGTATTCACTTAGTTAGCAGATTGGAAACATTGAAAGAAGATCAGATGACTGGTATACTTTAATAAATTGGACTTGAAACATGTATCTGAGATTTGGTATTGATTGGTGTCGAGTTGCCTGATTTCCATCTAAAGGATTCGATTGGGCGACTGTAACAATTATGTGAATTATTGAGTATACTAAATCTGGGTGATTTGGTTTTGTCAATTAATTCACGCAATCATGCAGTTAGTGAAGCGGAGTTGTTAAACGAAGATTAGACAACTCATTATGTCTTTGGTAAATTAGACTTAAAATAGAAATTCAATATTGAGTAGTTCTTCTTGAAGTAATTCTAATTCACTGATTGTGTGTATGCGTGAAATTTTTTACTGTGGCAAATTCGGACACAATGTGGATGCCTAGGATGTAATGTTATTATGTAGAATGATAAGGGTTTTGTGTCGTTAAGAAAGCACTTTCAGTTTTTTATTTTTTGGCTACAAACTTAAATGAAGTAATTACAGAATATTTTTCACATTGATTTCGTTGTGTTTCTTAGTTTAAATTACAAAAATAAATAAATAAAGATAATTTGACATTTTGTAATTATATGTGAAATAGAAAATAAATAGAAAACTCTTTTTTTGTGACTAAACAAACAAGTCCTTAGAGTACCGCTGTGGAATGATCTTAATATGACTGCTGCATTGCTTAATAATTATGCTATAGAAACATTTCATTCTGGATTCTAGTTTTCTTAGATTTGGAACAATTGAGAATTTGAAATTGTGGACATAACTCTTGATCTTGCAATCTATGAATGTAACTTCGTGGTGCAGAAATTAAGTCGTTGCAATCAAATTTGACACTGGAACAGATCTTTGAAAGAGAAGTGAACCTTAGATTGGAGGTAGCTGATGTGGATGCTTGTGTTTTTTTTTTTAATTTCTTGAAAGGGAATTGTTGGTGATTGTTCTAGCTGTTTCAACTAAGATGCTTTGAATTTTATGTTCTGTTTCAGGTTCAAGAAATGGAGGAGAAATTGACTAAGTTACGTGGAGGTGTTACTCTGGTGAAGCCAGAGGAACGCAAGGCAGTTGAGGGTATGTTGTCAGAGATGATAGGTCACTGGAGAAAGCGTAAAAGAATGTTCAAGGATTTATGGGATACCCTTACTGAGAACTCACCTAAGGATCCCAAAGAATTTAAGGTTTCTTTCTTGGCCTGTCACATCCTTAGATCTTATTCGTTATTGTTAATGTTTCTGTCATCATGTTGATACTTGTATGTACTTCGCAGGAGGAGCTTGGAATAGAATATGATGAAGATATTGGGGTGAGTTTGCAGTCGTATAATGACCTGATTCAAAATGGTAAGAAGCGGCCCAGGGGGCAGTGATGTATTTATTGAAATCAACAAATAAGAAATACAGATTATTTGGTGTTCTGACCACAGTATATATTACTGCAAAATATAGACAGCTTATGCATTGAGTTTTTACAATTCTGATCTAGTTTGGTTTTATTCACTTTACAAGCCTAGCTCATCACTCGAGCATCGTCTCAATGCAATATATTATTATTACTATCTCTTTTGGCCCGGCATTGGTCCTCTTTACTTTGACTACTATTCTGGTACTCATGATTCAAGGGCATAAAACATTATCTTTATTGTTGAACTTCATATCTACTGAATAATGAAATTGGCATCAACAGATCCTGGGAAACAAAACTAACTCTAAGCAGAAAGCACTCATAATCCATTTTTGAGAAGAAACTGCGTGCTCCCTTCTTAAAAGTCTTACCCAGGGTTTTCCTGGTATACTCGAGTATGATGGTTATTAGAAAAATCCTACTATTATGATTTTAAATATACTATTTTAGCTATTTTATACATAAATGAATTGGTGCAATATTGTATCATCGATGACTTACACAATTTAATGTGTTTTTTACTTTATATACTTTTCTTTTACCAATTCCCTCGAAAGAAATTTATAAGTCATACAAGCATAAATTGTTAAAAGGAATTGAATGTCAGTTTTTAAACCAAATTCGATCGTATTACTATTTTATTTCTCTCACTCATTCAATGGATGAGCTTTGTTTGGTTTCATTGCTTTGTTTATATTATTTATTTTAAAGAGACTTCACAATCTCAATAATCTAGCAATTTTGTTTCATGAGACTTATGTTCAAGTTGATTTTATTTTTTTAGTGTTAAATTATTAAACGAACACAACCTATTATTTTTACAATATATTGAAGTTAATTTTTTATTGTCTCTACTAATCTTATGATCCAACACAGCTTTTGATTCAAGTTTCAAAAGTTCATGAGTTGAACATCCCTTCGATAAATTTTAGTATTATGTTTCAAAATTGTCAATCTGAGCTAGGAAATACCATTAGATGGTTAATAAATGGTTTATTCTAAAGTTAATGACATCCCAGGTTTTTTCTGCAGTCATATTTCTGTGTGATCACATATCAACCTGCTTCCTATGTCCTCCTACTTTTATGTTGTAATTGCAATAAAGAAGAGAGGGAATGCCCAACAGTAATTTTACATCGAATTAATTAAATTAAAAATTTAAACAATGAAAAACATATTGACATTCTGATTACANTGAAATTTACTACTTAAGACAATAGATATTGTGATATTATAAACATTTTTTGTACTAGTGATACCTTTGACTTGATTTTATAAGTTTTTTCATAAATCTTTCGTTAAGAACAGTTTAATCTCGACCCATTTATATTAAACGTAATAATTAACATGTTTAACTTATTTAGATGATGAGTTGAATATGATAAAAATGATGAACCTATTTCTCCTAAAGACTATCAATTATTCCGTTATACTCATACAGTACACTTTTAAAAAAATTTTAGCGAGTCATTAAAATGAAACAAAACCATTTCACAAAAATTAGAAAATAAAAAATAAAACTAAAATCAAAACGAATAAGTACCTTTTATTTCTTTTTCAATCCCGTGCGAGAGCGGTAATTTTTTCCTCGATTTCCAAAACGACGTCGTAGTTCGTGGACCAGGGCCATTTCAATTCTTCCTTTCGTCTGCACCCCCTTGTTTGCTTTTGGCGGAGAAGGGAAAAGGAAAATCCTGAATTTTCCCGCCAATTTTTCTTCGATCCGAACAATGGCACCAAAATCCGATAGCGCCGAAGGTACCATCTCCGCCGCACACCTTTCATTTCACAGTTCTTACCTCAAATCCTAACATCTCTCACTTTTTCATTTCACAGCTATCGTGTTGAACTTCGTCAACGAGGTAAGCAACAACACCTTTCCTAATCTGGTGCTTCGCAACTCATCTCACGCGATACGCCTTCATTATAGCAAGAAAAATTAAAACTAAACTAAAATCACCTCATTTGTAATGGTGGTTTCAATTTTGATTTTTACTTTTTTGAAATATGATCAGCAAAACAAGCCGGTGAATACGCAGAACGTGGCGGATGCATTGCAGAAGTTCAACCTGAAGAAAGCGGCGATTCAGAAAGCGTTGGACAACCTCGCTGATGGGGGACGCATTTCGTTCAAGGAGTACGGTAAGCAGAAGATATATCTCGCGCGGCAAGATCAGTTCCAAATTCCCAACAATGAAGAACTTAACCAGATGAAGGAACAGAATGCTGACATGCAAAAACAGCTAGAAGATCAGAAAAAGGTTATCAGTGAGGTTGAAGCAGGTGTAGTATATGTACTCTACTATAGTCATGGACCCTATTTGTTAGGAAGCAACATTTTATGTAGTTTGGACATGTTTAGATAAACTTAAAAATTAGAAAACAAAAAATTAAGTAAGCACCTTCACAAACTAAATTAGTTTATCCATAAACTTAAAAAAAAAAGCTTTTTTAGGCAACTTAACATGTGAGAGTTTTTGCAAATTAACTTAAACTTACTTTTGATTAAGGTTTATTGAGGAACCGATTTTATATTTTTCTTCTTAGTTGTAAGTGTTTACCAGAATTTATCTAGACAGGTTCTTAGTGTATTCACTTAGTTAGCAGATTGGAAACATTGAAAGAAGATCAGATGACTGGTATACTTTAATAAATTGGACTTGAAACATGTATCTGAGATTTGGT